TTTTTTTTTTGTACCTGGGATCGAACTCGGGACCTTGCGCTTGCAAGGCACAGGCTGGCAGAACCACTGAGCTAAATCCCTGGCCCTAGACACTGAGTTTTCTAAATGTGTCCCTGGAACACACATTTTTAACCTCCCCCCTGCACCAGGCTTTCACTAGAGGGTGAACCAATGAGGTAGGAAAATCTTGGACTTTTAGCTTCCAAAGCTGTGAGCTAAATTAACCTCTTTTTTATAAAGTAGTCAGACTCTGATATTTTGTTGTAGCAATAGAAAAACAGACTAATATACTACCTTGGGCAAAGGAGAGGCAGAAAAGGGAATTAAGAAGGCATCAAAATAGGGAAGTCATAGTTAATGACTATAAGGTGGCTCCATTTACATTTAATAAAATGCACTGTAAGCTTTTCCTAGGTGTGGTGCCACATTTCAATCAATCAATGAAAACAATTTTACTTATCTGAGGATACTTACTATTATAGTAACACATGTTTTATTTGTGTTTTGGGATGAGGATTCTAAGAGCAGAGGAAAGTATGCCTTTGTGGTGGATTGAATAGTGTCCTTTAAGAAGACATGTTTAAATTCTAATTTCTCTGTGTTTGAATTTGACTTAATTTGCAAATGGGACTTTGAAGAGTTAATCAAGAAGATGAAGTCATACTGGATTAAGGCGGCTTCTGATCCAATCTGATTGAAGTCCTTATAGGAAAAGATACAGAAACACACAGAAAGAAAGCCATGTGATATTGGATACAGACATTGGAGTGAGGTAGTTGTAAGCAAAGTAATACCAGAGATTGTCACAATCACCAAAAGTTAAGTGGAAACAAGGAAGAATCCAGCCCTAGAGAGAACATGGCTCTACCAATATCCTGATTTTGAACTTCTACCACCAGAACTGTCAGATAAAATTCCTGCAATTTAAGGTACTGTGTGGTATTTTGGTGAGGCCACTCCTGGAGACTAATACAATTCTGCCTCTAGTTATACCAACAAGGAAGATCATATTTCTCAAATAGCACCAGATATCACCATGTATGAAGTAGTTGTCAAGCATTGTTCCTTGTAAACATAAGATTTTTATGTCTACTGTATTAGTCACTTTCCCATTGCAGGAACAAAATACTTGGTACCCCCAACTTGAAAGTAAAGAAATTTATTTGACTCATAGTTTCCAGTTGTTTCAGTCCATGGTTGACTGGCTCTCAGGCAAAAATGGGAGGGTGGAAGGGCATGCTAGAGAAAAGTTGCTCAACCTATGGAAGACAGAAAGCAGAGAGAGGGAAGATCCAAGGAGGGAAATATATCTGCTAAAGGGACACCTTCAGGGCCACACCTCTTCCGACAGGCTCTCCCTACAAACAGCACATTCAGCTATAAACTCATCAGGATCAATCCACAAGTGAGTATAGCAACCCTGTGATTGTCCCATAAGCCCTAACCTCTGAACACATGAGACATTTGGGAAATGTCCTAGTCTAAACAATAACCTGTACACAACAAAATTGTGTTTTATGTGCAACAGTGATACAGGATGAAGAGTGAGCAATTAAGCAGCAGATAAGGGCAAATCAATGACTCTAAAGTCATTGCCAAAGTTTCCCATATTTTCGAAGTGTACTGTGTGCATACACACATAAAGTCGGAAAGGGGTGGCTACAACCTTCCAAAGCAACAGTGAACAAAAGGTGATAAAGAATTAAGTGCTAAGATCTGTGGTTCTAATTCTAATACTTGCAGAAATCTATGATAAAACAGAGATCTCTGTAATCTATTTTTACAATTTTGTTAAATGTTTAAAGGCTTAGTCTCCAGAGTGGCTCTCTCAGAAGGTGCTTTAGAAGATAAGGCCTTGGGGCAGTCCTTAGGTCATAGAAGATGTGCCTCAGGAGGGACTGTGGGACCCCACCAGTTTCTCTTCTTTTGTTTAATGAATCATGGATTAAGTGATTTGTTTTACCACATACTTTTGTTATGTGTTGCCCTCACCAGAAGCCAAAACAATGAAACTACTCGATATTGGACTGGAACCTCCAGAACCTTAAATAATCAAATCTTTACTATTGATAAGTCATTTGTCTCTAGTATTTTGTTATAATGACAGAAACCATTGAACACACCCACAAATATAGACAAGTATTATTTGTGAACTAAAACTAAAATTGAACTTTTCAAAACTTAAAATAAAAGCAAATGGAGATCAAAGAACAATTCTGTCTTTGTGGATATAATATGACACATGATGGGGATAGCAAAGTTATTGACCTGACATAATAAAGGGTACCTACTGAGAGCTAATAGAAAATACTACCATTCTCAGTTTTTTATCAATCCAATTAGTTATCAGTCTTAATTAGTGTAAATATGATTCCCTCGGAAACAAATCCTGAGGTTGAAATTGATGAACAAGCTATACTGCTGGGTGCTGTAGAAATGATTCTGCTGGGAGAATGGCAAGGCTTAGACTGCAGTAGTTTAGATTGCAGTGAAGTCAAGTGGGCTGGTCTTCAGCTTCATCCTCCCTTGAGAAAAAGGGCATGGGCTTTTATATCTCTGCCTCAATCAACCAGCTATTGGATGTGGACTGTTCTAGGGTGGGTCACCGCCTTGGCCAAGGAGGCTCTTTTTGGTTAAGGGTAATTACAAATGGACTCAGCTGAAACCCAATGGCCACCTCTACACTAAGCAATTGAGACAGCAGTACCTCAGTTCAATGGGAGGCATCTGGATGGCACTTTTTACATTATTCTCTTCCCAGAAGAACTTTGAGGCTTCATATAGGAAGATACAGGAAATAAAAAACAATACAATATGATTAAATTTTCAAAATCAATATCTAAATAGAGTGTTAATGCAAGTATATCAATATTTGTAGACATCAGTGCAATTAAAGAGATGGCACTGATCTTAGGGGTAGTCAATGCAGAAAAAGAAACATACGTCATATTCTTATCCTTATAGAGGAAATAAAGCAAACTAATGCCTCAAAGAAAATAAGGTTTTCTTTGGTAGTAAGTTATAAAATAAAATTCGCACATGCCCTCATAAGGTGAAGTTGAACGACAAACACATAGTGTCCTCATCAGCTTTTTCTTTAGAACAAATACAATAACACATTTTCTGTAGTTGTTTCTTATAAATATTGAAGAGAGGAGAGTAATGAAAGATAGAACTATAGGAACTCAACAAAATTTTGTTTCCTCTGAAGTATCAGATAAGTTTGACCCAATAGGCAGTGTTTATGCTAAAACAAAGTTCTAAGGCTAGATTTTAAACACATGAATAGGCCATCCACCTTGTGACCTTCAGGGATTGTAGTTAAATAAATTTTCATCTAGACAAAAGAGTTCCATGTGTGCAGGTCCCTTAATCCTTGTAACTCTGTTTCCCTGGCAGCAAAAGCAACACCTACTCCATAGTAGATAAACAAGTATTTGTGGACTGAATAAGTAAATGAATAGTATAATTTCTCTCAGATTGGTGCATAGGTGATCCAAAGGTATTTTTTGCATATGTGTGTGTGCATGTGTATGTCTATGTGTTATTAACAAATACAGAGTTTAAAGTGTGATTTCAATGATATTTTAGAATCTAGACAAGCAGAAGACCAAATAACAGTAAAGGAAAATAACTTTGGATTGAACAAAATTATGGAAAAGTTTGAAAAGCAGTTAAAGGAATTTAGAAATGAAGGTTTAAGAAAAAAGGGAATCAGTGAGGGTTCTTAGCAGGGAATGATATATAAATGCTGTTTGAAATAATTCAGTTTGGCAGAGATAAAGTAAAAACAAATTTTTCCGTCAAGCAAATTCTTCCCAAGAGGGACTGTATAACATTTTATTTTTGAACCAAATTTAGTCAAATCACTTCTTTTGTGGATATAATTAACTTTAGAGGACTTTTGTTATAATTACAAAAGTTTTAATTTTGAAGAATAGATATCTAAAAACAAGAACAAACTTATAACAAATCACCCCTAGAGGAATTTAATGCCAGCATCTTTTCTAACTTTTTTCGTGCATTTTAAATGTAAATTCAGACATAAAACATAATTTTACCTCAATTCTCATTTCAAGCAAAAGTGTTGTCATGTAATTAAAAAAGGCTTCAGAAACATAATGTTAGCAATTCTGTAATATTATATGTTTTACTGTACACATACATGTATGAAAACATCACAATGAAACCAAATATTCTGTATAATTAATATGCACTGATGAAAAGATGTAAAGATTAATCTACACCATGTTATATTTGTTGTTTAAAGAGAATATAGAAAACAACTTTATTTTCAAATGTTGATTTTCATTTTGTGATTTCTTCTATTTTTTTTAAAGTTCAGATGTCTTTTAATACACAATTCAATAACATTTCATTTCATGGCATGCATGTGTTATAAAAATCTAAATTTATACAGGTAATTCTTCAATTCAACTAAAGTTTTCTTTTAATATGAGGTAAGAGATAAGGTATGAATCATGGATCTTGAGGGAAAGTACAGAGAAAGCCAGATTCTTCCCACTTCATGGAGAAAGGATGGAGTTCAGGCAGAACCCTTTGGTCACTTAGAAACTTTGAACCTGGGTCTTGAAATGGTCCATGTGGCTCCTGAAGCCTAGGTGATAGTTTACAGTTTGCCTGTGAGAAGACTGAAACAGTCCCAAAAGTTGACTTTGGAGAAACAGAACTTGTAAAGTGGGAAATTCTCCAAACATAACTGTTCAAAGAAATGTTGGGTTGCCCCAAAAATGGCAAATCTTTCCTATAGATGATGAAGAAATAAATCGGTTCTTATTTCAAGTAACTTGCTGATTGTGCCAATATAATTTATTAAATAACCCTTCCATTTCTTCATGTATGTTCTATACCTTCATTACCACATGTTAACTAAGTACATGCACTTGGTAGGTTTCTGGTTTGGGGCAATTTTTACTTTATTTTATTTTATTTTATTTTATTTTATTTTATTTTATTTTATTTTATTTTATTTTATTTTTCAGTACCAGGGATTGAACTCAAGACATTGTGCTTGCAAGGTAGGTGAGGAGCCAGTGAGCTAAATCCAGGACCAATTTTTAATAGGAGTACCTTGAGTATTTGGGAAGATTAATACAAGCCAAAAGGGAACTGACAGTAAGACATTATACACACACACATACATACACACGCATGCACTCACACACAGATACGTGGTGTTTTGTATATTGAACAGCAATAGCTTTCATTTATACACAACCTGCAATTTTAAAAACATCTCTCTTTTATTATGCATCTTTTAATCCTCAAATAATTAAAACTAATAATATTACCCAAAGCCCATGTTTTTAACCACCTAGGAAATGTTATAAATGATGAAAGAAAAGAAAACCTAATATAACTAGTGTTGTAGATACAGGAACAAATGTGCACAGATAAGAAATTCTTATCAGTTGCTGTCTTCTAATGCTGAAGCCAGTATTTGTGTACTTTGGTAATAATGCTTTCCCCCAGGCAGCTAACATACTTGTTCATTCAAGATATAAAATAATTTTCCTCATGATTACAAAATTACTTAGCGCATTGCTCTAATTTCCACCAAGATTGCATAATCAGCACATCAGATGAAATCTTCAGCCCTCAAGACTGTTTTTTGGTAAACTTGTGTTATTTACAAGGAGTGTAATAGGCCTGATGCATAAATTCCTTTATGGTTCCAATTAAAGGGTTTATGGTGGAAAAAAGAGTTCAAGGCAAAGTAAATATCACACATTCTGTGGGGTTTTGAACTAGACACATAACAATCCTGGCTTTATACTATGGGGAATACAGGCTGCTTTATTAAACCTTTGCATAGCAGGCCTAGTGATTGTGAGGCACTGTCTTAGGGTCTTTCCAACCTGGAAGGATAGATACTATTACACTCAGTTTTAAAGGTAAGGAAATAGATGGAGCACTTTTTTAAAAACTCCAAGTCCATACTTTTCCTACCTCTGCAGGACAAATAGACAAATGTTTTAACCTCGCTTTATTTCTCACTTCTGTCCCTACATTTCTTTGCCAGAGGAGAAAATTTTGCCTATACTTACTTATTTTGTAATCAATGTGAATTATAACAATCTGCTTACAAAGTTTTATCTTTATTACTAGTTACCAACAGAGTTGTAACCATTGCAACTATACTTGCAAATATGCAGTGTTTTAGAGAAGACTTGGTTGAGAAGTTACTATTTATAAATAAAGAACTCACAAGACAAGAAACAACATTATTTAAAGGGCTTCGATTTCTTGTGAACTCAAATATATTTCATGATCCTTATCTAGATATAAAAAAAAGATTATAGTCCACGGCACAGCAAAAGCCAGAAATAATATTACTTAAAGTAATTTAATTATTCTAATGTTAAAACAAAACATGGCTATTTAAACAAATTTTGATAATATATAAAAGTAAGCAGAAAAATTACCCTCCATAACTATCCCACTCATATATAAACGCTGATGATATTTTAGGTGTGCTTCTCTTTCGCTGTTTCTTGTACATTAGTTGCTTTGTTCCTGAGCGTATGGTGGCATATTTACTGTGAAGGTCACAGATCTCAAGCTTCATAGGTCTTCATTTGCAGAAATCCCTGCCAAGGCCTACAGAGTGGCACTTGCTACGTGTTATCATGGTCACATTTGTCAAAAATGTTTTCATTAGTACATATTTGATGTTTGCAGTACTCACAATTAGTTGGCATCACTGTGAGATACAGGGTCCCTTGCATGGTATTAAGGATCAGAAAAGCTAAAAAATTTTGGTGCTGCTATAGTTAAATTGCATTTTTGATGAGTTTTGATATTGGAAAGTGGACAGTCCAGGTAATTGCAATTTCATTAAATTCACTGGAAATACAGGATGTAATCAGAAGAAAACATTAGCAAAAAGTCTCAAAATTCCTATTATTTTTTAGTGCATTTCCTAAAATGAATATAATTGACATTTACTTTTAAAGATACAATTTAAAATGACTATTTTGGAAATGGGTCACTATAATAAATGTGTGTCACTAGAATATGTGTTTGATTGATTTGCTTTCAGAGAGATGAACTAGCAAAAGTTACAGTGGAATTCCTTCAATGTCATTGAAAGGTAAATTTTTTTACTAAAACGCAGACTTATATTTGCAAGTTTTTATTATCATTGTTATTACCTACATAAATTGTTGACTTCATCAGAAATTCTGAAGCTAAATAATGTCTATCATCGGATTATTTAATGTGACTAACTGAGTTATTTTACTTTTAAATATAATTTAAAAATTTTTAATACAAATTAAAAATTATACCTAAATGAATTTAATGTGCAAATTAATATTTAAATATTTTACAAGGTATACATTTTAAATACATAATCAGTTTTCCTCCACTAAATACAAGACCAACAAATGTTAAAAGTCTGAATTTAATCATTAATCATTAGTTTGGTATGTCCATACCAATTTTTTCTTAGTAAAACTGGTTTAATAAAGGCTGAATATAAGTTAATCCTTCTTACATTAATAACATTGATGTCAGTTACTTTCTTGTAATCTTACCCTTATAGACTGCACGTTTGTGTCCCCCTGAAATTCATACGTTGAACTCCTGACCTCTAATGTTATGGAATGGGGAGGGAGACTTGGGGAGATAACTAGGTCACATGACCTTCATGGATGAGGTCAGCATCTGTGATGACAAATTTTACATGTCTACCTGACCAGGCTAAGGAAAGGCCACATAGCTGCTAAGCATGATTTTGGAGTGTGGCTATAATGGGGTTTCCAGAAGAGATGAACATTTGAATCAGTAGAGTAAAACTCCCCCTCACCAATGTGAGCAGGCATTACCCAATCTGCTGAGAGCCTGAAGAGAGCAAAAGGGCAGAGGAAAAGCAAAAAGGAGAGGAATTCTTTCTCTCCTCTTGAGCTGGAAGCCCGTCTCCTCCTGTTCTCTATTACAAGGTGGACACTTCAGGTTCTCTGAATCCAAGACTTACTGTAAAACCCCCACCCTGGTTCTCAGACTCTGAGTTACAGTCCAGCTTTCCTGGCTTTCCAGTTTGCAGACTGCAGAAGGTAGAAATTTTAGAACTCCATAAATCAATGAGCAAATTCACATGGAGATCTATTGGTTCTGTTTCTCTGTAGAACCCTGACTAATGCAGTGTCCTTATAAAAGAGACCCAGAGAGCTCTCTTACCTTTCTTTCTACCAACTGAGGTTACATAAAAGATAGTGTGCAACCCAGAGGAGGCAGAATTTTTACACATTCCCTTCACTTTCTTTGGTTTCTTCTTTACTCAAGATAGACAGACAGAGATAGATAATGGATGGATGGATAGCTAGAGTTTAACAGCGCTCTGCTAGATAGTGAAGAAAATAGGAAACAACATAAATCACAGGAATTCAAATGTGTTAGAAACACATTGATGTTATAGGACTCACTATGAGAGAAACAGGTGAAGTTAGCAAAAGAATAAGCAGTGTGTTTGCACTGCAGGAATTTCTGGGAAAAGTATACAAAAACACACAGTGGCTAAGCATATTTAAGAAGCAAGTTTCTAATGAAACACCCAGGGAGTGCGAAGCTGTCTTGGAGAAGTTTGCCAGAGCTTTGAAATACATTCTGGTCAGAGTGTGAATTTCAAAGAAGGTGCGGAATACATGAAGTTTCCCAAAAGTATTTAGGTTTTTTTTTTAAATCAAAGTTTTCCAAGGATCACAATACTGTGGGAAAGTCAACCTCATGCTAAAAAATATACTAGACATTTTAGAGCCCAAGAAAATAGCCTAATTGCAACCTGTTTCTATTTTGAGACGCAATATTAAAGCATAAATTCTTTCCTTAGCAAAACTGGGAAAAAAATCCTTAGACTAGGAGATTTTCCCTTCAATTTGGAAGAAATACGTGTTAGCTATTTTTGATTTGAGTAATAGGAATGTAAAAACTTTGTATTTTGAGAATTTGAGAGCTTTTTTCCTTGAATAACTCAAAATTTCTTCGTTTTTCGGAATCAAAGTTAGCAAGCAATTACTGAATAATCAGAACCAGTTGTAGAATCAGGCTGTATTTATTTAAAATGAATTTGAAAATACATAGAAAGATAATCTTAATTTTCTTTCTAATAATGCTAACCCTATGAATTTCTGTTGTAGAAGAATGTATGATGGGCTCAAAAATCTGTTTTGCGTGTTGTGTTCAGTTCTCCACTCCAAATTTGGTTCAACAATGCATCAGAAGCAAATGGAAATTTTAAATCAAAGGCTAGCAACATGGAAACAAAAGAAACAAAACTCAAATCTCATCCCAGTTCTTCTTTCCATGTGTTCAGAAGCAGGAGGCAAATAACTTATCACTATGAGTACTAATATGCTCCTCTTTTCCCACTTAGTCTGCCTAACCTCTCTGTCAAATTTCACAGCATTTTCCAACCAGGAATAAGGTGGGTGTGGCCGCTCAGTTTACCTGCAGCTATTTCAGAAATACAATGTTAATGCATGGGCTTCACAACTTACCACGGGAACATATCCTGACAAATCTATTATAAATTACAAATACTGTAAAATGAAAATGTGTTTTCTACATTGACCCTGTTGGACATCATAGCTTAGCCTAGCCTGCCTTAATAATCCTCAGAACACTCAGAAGACCAAAATCATCTCATACAAAGTGTATTTTACAATGAAGTGTTGACTTTCTAGTGTAATTTATTAAATACTGTACTGAAAGTGGAAAACAAAATGGCTCTATGGGTATGCTTTTAAGCCAAGGCAGAGTTGAAAAATCTCAAGTGAAACCACTTTAAGTTAGAGACTGTTTGTATTTGAGTAGGCAGAACAGGGCTGCATAAACCAGGAGACACAAAGACAAATAGAAACAGGAGGAAGAGAAACATCTCCGCCACCTTCTACTGCTGAACTATGGAGAAAATAATTCCCATATTCATTTTGTTTTAATCACAGATTTTCTACATGGAACCTAATACTCTAGTCATTTTTATTGCCCCACCACACTACTGAAACTACACTAATAAAGTGTTTCTCAATTTTTAACGTGCATCAGAATCATCTGAAGAGCTTGATGAAGTGCTAGACCCACAAATATATGTGGGAATGGCCAGAGAATTCAGATTTCCAATAAAGTGAAATTATGATGCTGAATCTTCTGAACTGGGCCATACCTTGAGACTCACTCTCTAGTGCTTGATTCTCAACCTTGGCTAAATGTTGGAATTAATTGAAATTTCTTGTAATTGTAACACAGTCAATATAATCAGAATCTATAGGAGGAAAGAAAATCAGGCATATATACTTTTTTAAGAACTTCAGGTTGAGAAGCACTGCTGAAGCAGGGCATAAATGGTTTTCTTTTTAATACAATTAAGAATATTTTCTTCATCCTTGATTCGAAGACATAGTTTGAGTGTGCTGGAGCCAGTGTCTGGCATGCTGCTTAGTGCACAGCAGGAACTTCATCACAGAGGTGATTATATTCTCACTGATCTAGGAAGTAGGAGTTAGTTTTCTGATCTTCCCAATGGTAATAAGTATTACTGACTTTCCTTCTATGGGACACATCACTCCTTTAATAATTTGTTTCTTAGGTTTTCCTATTTCTTATCTGACATTATTGATTCTTTTTTCTTTGATAGTTTCTGCTTTTCCTCTGAATTCAAGGCTTATCTTGGATCACAGTTTTAGTAGTCTTAGACCAGTCAGTGCTGGTATTTTGGTCCTGTGGAGAGGCGGTTCATCATGACAAGGAGTACACAGCAGGGCGAAAAGTCACCCACCTCATGTCTGAAACATAGAGGAGATCAGGAAGACATGAAAGAGACAGGATCCCATTCCCCTTTTCAAGGAGAATGACACCCGACCATAAGGGAATATTTAACATCCAAACTATAGCACCTTCCTATGTCCAAGCAATGTTAGAATGTTCCTGACTTCCCAGGGACCCCTAAAGTTAGAAGAAGATTAGATTCCTCCCACCCCACTCTAATCATTACCTTTAGAAGGCAACTCTTAAGAGTTTTCATCCTCTTAAGAGAACATGGACTTGTAGTTGAAGATAATAATAGCTAAATTATTAAGCATAGGCATTAAGCTAAGGACTTCATATGGGTTACATAATTTATTTTACACAATAAACCTATGCCCCTGATCCTATTCTTATCCCCATTTTACAGAAGAGGTAAACAAGACACAGGAAAGTTGAATAACTGGACCAAGATCACATAGCCAGTGAAGTGCAGTAACTTCGAATCTGGATCTCACAGTCAATATGTACCAATTCTATAGAGAGAATATAACTCTATAGCAATGGAAAATGATAACTCAGTTCAATATAATCAAATATATGCAGTGAAGTAATGAGACTTAAATGGAGGAACAAGGTAAAAGACCATTGTAGATATTCATGAAAAGGAGAAACTAAAGAGGGAAACATGCATGTTCAGAGATAGTGGAGGGAGCAGTGGTAGTTTGCTGCTGTACCTGAGTTTATCAGTGAAAAGATTCATGATTGTTGTCCATGGTTCTGATAAGGACAAATCAAGAAAAATGACTTGTAAACCTCATGATACTTTTTCAATAGGTTCAGCCTGTGGGAACAGAGGAAACCTAGCATAAGAAGCTGGATACTGAATGAAAGCTGGTTTCTTAGGGAGTTCTTCAGGATTGTGAGGCAGGATACTGCTACACATCTATACCCAGCTCAAGGAAACTACCATTGGAGGAGCCTAGTGGAAATCTTTTAAGGAAGCCAGGAAGCCACACACACACACACACACACACACACACACACACACTAAATTGTGTGTGTGTGTGCTAGGGAGAGTGAAGAGATTTTAATGTGAAATAGGACCAAAAAGCATAAATCCAGTTACCTGAGAACCAATTATTACATGAAAACCAATTAAAGTTAAGTCTTTGCTTGTGTGTTACCATGCCTACCTCTAAACTTGAAGTTCTCAGAATCTGGGAAACAAGCAAATGGGAGTGAGTGAGAAAGGAGAAGCAGAGGAATAGTGAAAAAGCCAAACAATTACAGGTTTATAACTTAGTGCAAGTTACAGAGCAATGATGTTAAGCTAGAATGACATAAACCATGTTCTGAGTTTTCACTGATAACTTACATTGGATATTCACATTTCTGAATTAAAATAGTATTTGCGTTTTGCAGCAACTACAGGCTGTGTATTACCTAAGATTATGCACAAATATGTAACCAAAACAAAATCAAAATGTGTTTTGATTAAGCCATAAGTTGTGCTCATTTAATACACAGCTCACACATGTGTAACAGTGTTCTCAGGTGATATCAAAGTTGTATTCACCTGCAATTCTTACAAGTTTATCTGGAGGAGTCATAGCAAGGCTTGCTTTTTTATTTGACTTTTTTCTTTGAAATTTTCTGTTTTTCTATTTTATACTTCTCTTAACAAGTATCAATTGTACAAATTAATGGTATTCACTGTGATATTTCTATACATGCATGTGGCATGTGTTGATCTTATCCCCATACCCTTCTTCTATCACCTGCAAGCCTCCCAAATTCTCCCAGGATCCTTCCCAGTTGCAAGAATTGGTTTTCTATATTCAAGTGAGAAGGCCTCCAGAGTGTGAAAAAATGGATTCAAAAGAAAGAACCATTAATTATGAAAGGCTTGGATCAAGAAATATAAAGTCATGTTGATTACGAAAAATGTGTGAGTGTATTCACTTGAGTTTGTCACCCAGATTGTATTTGTTCACCAAAATTGTATTTCAAAGTATTTCAGTCTGGTGTGAGTCCTGATATGAATAATCAGTAATAATTATTTTTAATTCATTTCCCCTTGTATTTCTAGGTTCTATCATGGATACTAAGACCCATAGGTTATATTAGTCACACTTGGAAAATAAATCAGAAGCCATTCTAAGTATTTCAAGCAGGAAAGAATTAAATATTTAGAATTGGTGTCAGTGGCTTTGTTGGAAGGGTTGCAGGAACCAAGAACAGGGGAAGTCAATATTAGTCCTCAGCTTCACCCAACAAGCCTATGGGTGTCAAGAAATCTTCAGTGGATCAGGAACTTCAGAAAATCACACTCCAGTGGAAGACTGAGGGAGGAGACTTTTAGTGTCCCCAATAAGCCACCGCTGATGCTGACTGGTCCTCATATCTACTGTAGCCAACCACAAAGCACCATCCGTGGCTTCTGCTCCTTCACTCCTTCTAGTTCTCATTTAGTGTCATTCATTGGAGGAAAGAAAACCAGAAAAGTATAGTAACTAAAGTAGGAAATGTAGTTCCCAATTTTCTAGCTCCTGCGATACAAAAGAGCACATGTAAAACCCCCACAGATGGTGTTAAGGACCATCTAGCATGCCGTACCCCCTATGCAAGGGACTACTCATGTGAAAAAGAATTATGAAATTTTTGTTCTCATGATTCTTAAAAGATCAGTACTTGACTCCCTTGAAGCAAATTTGGGGTTGATGTGGTTTGGATGTGACTTGTCCCCCAAATTCATGTGTTACAAGCTTGGGCCCAGTATGGTGACATTAAGAGGTTAAGAAGACCATTAAGAAGTAGGTCCTAGCAGGACAATGTCAGGCCATTAAGAGCACTGACCTTGAAAGGGATTAAGGTAGTTCTTCTGGGACCCTGGTAAGTTCTCATGAGAGAGCTGTTATAAAAGACCAAGGCTAAACCTGTCCTGGCCCTTCGGGGTTCCCGCCTCATCATATGATCCCTCTCTTGTAAGCATTCCCGCTGTGATGCCATCCACAAGGATATGATTTAGCCCAGGGAGCCTTCACCAGAGATCAGATCAATGGGGTCACCAAATCTTGGACTTCCAGCCTCTAGAACAGCAAGCTAAATAAATTTCTTCCCTTTATAAAACACCAGCCTTGGGTATTTTGTTAAAACAAAACAAAAAAACAGACAAATACAGAGGTTTTTCAGAACTAGTAGATGTTCCTCTTCCCCTCTGCAATTATCTCTGGAAATGAAACCATGATATAAACAAAATCAAACACACTAAAACAGGTATGGAAAATCATGTGCAAAACATGTAAACATGTACAAACCCAGGCTCCCAGTCTCAGAAACAGGAAGACAGACAGCATAATCACCCTGGTTCTTAGCACAGATAAGCTTTGTACTGAGCAGGATGAACATGGCTTGAAGCCAAACCCATACCCTCTGAAGCATAAAGGTATTACAGCCTAACCTGCAAAGACAAATCAATCGATGTAAATTCCAAGGAAATTCTAACCTTAATCCTGATCAAGTCCCCAAAAATCTCAGTGGAACACCTATTTCAAATCCTCTATGCATCATATTTTCCCTCTTAGATGATAAAAAATTAATAATTTGAAATGTGGGATTAAAATGGGTGGAAAGAATAATTTAACAAAGCTTATATTGCTGATCCTGCTTTTCCATTCTACTTCCTCACTCCCAATTAACTTCCCCCCTGCCATCCGGAGTGATCTTTCTAAAAGTTAGAGCCTACTGTATCTCATTTTTGATAAAAGACTTAAAACACTTCACAACATTTTTTTAAAAATTAATTTTTGACAATATCTAGAATGTTCTTTGGATCCAGGTTTTATATTACTTTTTAGAATCTTTATCGATTTCTCTAGCTTCAATTCTTACCATGCTCTTCAACTATAGATGGCTTTATATGTCCCTGCCTATATATACTGTTGGGAAAACTAAATGAGATGACATAGATAAACCACATAGAGGTGCTTAATAAATCTCCCTTCAGGATGTGTGTATGCATGTATTTTTCTTCAATATTCATAAGTAATCTTTGAGAAAAGTAGATGAGATTTTAATATCTGCATTATATTAATTAAGAAATCGGGGTCAGGTAGTTTTCCTGGCTTGTTAAAAATCCTACAGCTGATATGTGGAGGAGTTAATACCTCTGAATAAAAGGTAGTGTATGGCCCGATACACAGTACTTATTTTCCTATGGGTATATGAAAGTTGCATTTAGATGGAGGTTGTTCTCCTGTCTCCACTATCATGGTGCTGCTCTTGGTAGATATTTTTCATATTCTCTCAGGTTCATTCCCTGAACAAAGTGAGCTGATTCTGCAAGTGTTTTTTGAGCTACTTTGTCAATAGGTTTCTGGCTATGGGCAGTGAGCAGGAGTTATGTGTGGATGGGAGACTGAAAATAGGAAGGAGAATCTAGATTTCTGTCTCTCATGCCTCTTAGCAGCTGCATCTCCTCTTTAACATCAGGTTCTCCCAGGTAACTCCCAGTTCTGATGTCTCAATTCTGAGCTGCACACTGGGTTCCAAGGTTCTGTAAACACTATCTTATAACATTATTTCACAAATACTGGGTGAAAGATGGTGACACTTCCTGTTACTGATCCTCCCCTCCCCTCCTCTTCTGTCTTCTCTTTTCCTCTCCCTCTGGCTTACTTCTTAATCCCCTCTTCTGTCTTTTACTTTTTCAAAATCCACTCCATTAAGTCAGAATGAGCCACAGTATATGTTTCCCTTTGGAGGCCTTAATTCTTAAAGCAGACATGCAAAGAATTTTAATACTCTGATCCAAACTGTAATTATAGCTTTCATCTAAATCAACTCACAGGATTGGACATACAAATGCTCTCTGTTGTCTGTCTCCTCTTTATCAATCCTAACAGAAACTTGCTTTGTCTCTTCTTTCCCATTTTAGTGGAATCTTGATTTTTTTTTTAATGTGACAATGTATCAGTTTAAAAAGACCACATTTCCTAAGTTTCCTTGTGGTCAGACATGGTCATATGACTAAATTCCAGTTAATGAGATGTAAACAGAAATTATTCATAAGGCTTTGATAGAAGTGCTTGAAACTTACTTCAACTGTATTCACTCTCCTGCCTTTTCCTTTCTAGGGCTCAACATGGTGGCTAAAGCTATGCAGTCTGCTTGTGACTATGAAAAGATCTGGAATGTGTAATTTTTGAGGACAAAGAGCAAACAAAAAGAGGACCTGGGGAATTGAAGACACATATGGAATATATATGCCAATGTGTGACCTCCTATAACATCATGCTACTTCAGAACCACTATTTTCTAGGTTATCAGAATTTGTTGCTTAATAGAAAATGCAGTTCTAAACTGATACAAAGTTAAACCTCAAGTTCCATGCGTTTGTCCATTCTTTAGTGCATTTAGTGCATTTATCTATTCTCTAGCATATGTCTAATATTATGGAAAAATGTGGGTAAACCTGGGCCTATAAAAATAAGACAATTAGTTCTTACCTTCAAAAAGATGACAGCTTAGTGGGAAGTCAGAGAAATGGATTAATGGTCAAAATCACAAAGTTGCAGTTGACCACAATAATAGCAATAATCACAGATTATTGAAGAGAACCAAGAATGAGTAGATCTAGCACTCTTGGGATCAGGGAAAGTTGATGAAAAAACTGAAACTTTGAAGATTTAGGAATGAGTAGGTACAAGGTGCTGCACCAGAGAGGTACTGAGTGTGTCCTGGAATCAGGAAAGCATCAGGGGAAGAGGAGGCAAAGGAATGAGGACCACGTTAATCTGCATGTGGGACTCCAGTAGTCAGAGTTTGTTAGTACCCAAAGCACAAACCAGAGAGTGATGACAGACAAGTAGGTTAGTAATGGCTTCATTTTTCTGGAGCCTCCTGCATGGTAACAATCTCACACTTCATCCTGAAGGCCAGCAGGATCCTAATATTCTCTGCTGTTCTCTCAGCACAGTGTCACTCCTGTTAAAGAATAGTACTGTCTTTTCAACAGCTGAGGATTGATACCTTATCTCAATTCAACAAAAGAAATAGTTAATTATGTTGCAAATTGGTATTGGCAATTGATTTGAGTGATTGTCTCCTGTTAGACAGCATTTAAATTTTTGCTACGCAACATGTTATGCATATGTGAAAAAGAACCTGGTAGTCTTATTTGCTTGTGGGCTTGGAGTTCATGGTAACATAGTAAGAGTTCTAAAATAAGTAGCTCCAGTAGGAGACATGAACTCCTGGTTTCCTCCACTCATGTAACACTCTCTTTTGTCTTTGCTTATTAATAAGGAAGTACAAATACTAGGGCACTATTAAATAATTCCTAATTCTCCCTTCCCTCGGTCTTTGACAACTACTATTCTACTCTCTGCTATTGTAAGCTGACTATTTCAGTTATCTCATAAAGTTGAATCATGTAGTATTTGTCCCCCTGTGACTGGTTTACTTCACTAGCATGATGTTCTGCAGGTTCATCCATGTTGTTAACACAAGAAAACTTCCTGAATAATATTCCATTGTATGCTATATCAATTTTGTTTATTCAACTGTTTCCAATAGAAGTCAGTGTTGCTTCCTTATGTTGGCTTTTATGTACAGTATAATGCTGCAATGAACATAGGAGTGCAGTTATTTCTCTTTTTTATTTTAAGTTCTTTTATTGGTACATTTTAGGTATATAATTCATTTACATTTATCATTGGGTGTTTGTACCTATATGTGATATATCTTGGTTCCTATTTTTTCCCCATTACCTGTGTGCCCTTCACCCTCTCCACCCTTCCCTATTTACATAGACATAATTTCCATTTTTTTTCTTTTCTCATAGTTTTTCCTTTCCCTCTTTTCCTTTCCCCTTCCCCTTCATTCACCCCTTTGTCTTTCGACCTTTTTTCCTATTTCTAAATATCAGTTATTCATTTTAATCATTTTAACCCTTGTTTACACTATCAGTTTCTCACACTAGAGAAACTATTTGGTATTTACACATGTGTGTCCTATTTATTTCACTTAAGAGTATGGGCACGATATGCAACCATTTAGCTATAAATGACTCTCGTTTTTCATTCTTTATGGCTGAGTGGTACTCTACTCTATAAAAAAACCACATCTTCTTTATCCAGTCTCCAGTTGATGGGCACTTGGGCTGCTTCCAAGCTTTAGCTATTACAAACTGTGCCACTATGAACATGGGTGCACATATATCACTGTGGTATGATTCTTTGAATTCTTTGGGGAAGATACCCAGCAGGGGGATAGCCAGGCCAAATGGGACCTCTAGTCCTAGTTCTTTGAGGTATCTCCATACTGATTTCCACAGTGGTTGCACCAGTCAAGTGCAGTTATTTCTTAATAGTCCTGATTTGAGTACTTTTGGACATATACCAAGAATGAGAATTGCTCAATCATATAGTAGTTCTATTTTTAATGTTTTGATGAAATTACATAATATTTTCTCTTTTGTATTATGATCATGACTATACCAGGGTTCCATTTTCTTATCTCGCCAGCACTTATTATCTTTTGGTTTTTGTCCATAGCCTACCTAACAATGGGTATGAGATAGTATCACTTTGGGGTGTTAATTTGCATTTCCCTGATGATTAGTGATGTTGCCCACTTTTTCATATACTTATTGACCACTTATATATTTTTGGAGAAATAAAATTTCACATTCTTTGCCCATTATAATTGGGTTAGTTTTCTTCTTTGTTTTTTTCTTTTAAGTTGTAAAAGTTTCCTATATATTTTGCATATTACTCCCTTCTCATGTGTATGGTTTACAAATATTTCTCCCCACTTCTGAAGTTGCCTTTTTCACTTTGTTGGTCATTTCCTTTGCTAGGGATGATCTTGGTAGTATGACATAGTTTCACATAGTGCTTCTGAGAGCTGCACTTTTGTAAATCATTGAAAGACCAGTCACAAGAATTCTTCTCTTCTGTTTTCTTACTAGAGCATTAAAATTTCATCTATTTCTTATATTTCAGTCTTTACTTCACTTGAGTTTTTGTATATTGTATGAGATTAGGTAGATTGAAGAAGATAAAAAGAGAAAGACAAAAATTGTTTTTCCAATTACTTAATTCAGAGTTTTTCCAAGAATTTAACTAAATTACCCATATGTGCTGATTTTAAATTTGATTTTTAATTCTTTTTACCAAGGTACTGTTTTTTTTCTTCCTAAAACTTGACATAGTGTTAAGTAAAAGCAAAGATTTTGGAACGTATTTTGAATGCATAATGGAATTTATATATTCATGTAAGGCTCATGAATTCACATAGATATCCATTATGTCAGCGAAAAATTACTAAATCAGTTAAAGAGTTCACAGTCTCCCAGAGGGTTATAAACAGCCTGTACTTGCATTATAGTGAAATAAAAGCCCTGAAGATGGAATATGTAAGAATATGACACTGCAGAATTTACCCTACAGGTGAGATGTTTAGGGAAATCAGGCTCCAGGAGTTGGTATTTGAGCTTCATCATGGAAGACAAATGTATATTCCACAGAATAAGGAAGGGAGCTTTTACGCAGAGGAAATAGAATATAAAATTAACAGATACAAAAAGAATATAAATGCAGAATTATATATAAATATAGCACTTATTTTTTTAACAATATGTGACTATATACACTTACATAAGTAGATGCATGAGAAGTAGACTGAAAGAATGTACTCCACCTTGATAGAACATGGTTTCTAATTCTGTGGAGGGAAAAGGTAAAGCAGGAGAAAAACTGGAAGTGTTTATATATTACTCTGCAAACCTCTCTATCATTTGACTTCTTACAATGAGATTGTATTTATCTATCACTTGTCTAAAAATAAAGGAAATGGTGTATTCTGAAATCAATAGCATGAGCTTCCATGTGTCATTTTAATGTGACTGTAGAGGAAGCATCTAAAACCTTGCAAGAGATAATTCTTCAAACAATCATGGGCCAGATCCTGAAGGACCTTGTGTGCATTATCAGTGCTTGCAGACTTCATTTAAAGACATGATCATTAAGTCATGCAGAGTAGAACTTTTGCAAAAGGGAAGGGTTTGAGAGATGGAAGGAGAGGGAAGGAGGGGAGATGAAAGGGATAAAAATGAATTAAAATGTGTTATGCACGTGTACCAACTCTCCACAGTGAATGTAATCATTATGTACTGTAAACAGGTACTAATAAAAAATGCTATCAACTAAAAAATTAAAAAACAAAATTTCCTCAAGCAGCAAAAAATCCTCCAAATACATACATTAGTTAACAGAACACATGCTCAATACCTTTGCATTTTTAATAAAGATAAATTAATAAATATAAAAAATAAAGAGTGTAGTGAGGTACATTTAAAACTGTAACTGGTGTATCATCTCTAAGAAAAAAATATGACCTTTAGCACCACTGTATGTCCCTGAAATGCACTTTTTGTGTTCCCAAGATCCTTACTAAGCTAAGAGGACATTGTAAACAGATAGGGATGTGGCAGTCCAGGTAAGTATTATCTAAAAGATGCTGGGAACTAGGCAAATTCATGCTATCTATAGAAACTGCCTTCCAGCCCATATGCTAATTCAGCTGTTCCTTGGAATGCCTGTCATACAATGGAACAAAGCAAGCTAATGATATCACTGCTGTGTGACTTACTCTATAAAATTCCCTCTCTGTAGTAACTGAGTGCAGAACAGAACACTGCTGAGCGTTGCAGTCCAGCTAGCATTGAACACTTTGAGTCCTCTCTGATGATGTTCTCTCCCACCTACCACCACCGGATTTCTTGCTTGGCCATCCAGGCTGGACCTTCTGGCCATGAACTAGTCCAGCCCACTATCAATGGACTGTATTCTGGTACTAAATCTCCATTAACCCTACCTTTTTCTGTTAATATCTTAATAAACCTTGTCTCTCACAAGCCACCTCTGTATATTTTCTTGGGTCTCTCAGCAGCTTACTCTATTGCCCCCAAACACCTGGATTGTGGAGGAGACAGCTGGTAGTAATACAGAAACTGGATTAGAAAGAAAAACCATGGCAACCAGCAGAACAGTTACAAAGTGTATCAAGATGAACTGAAATATGTGGGATAACAAACTCTGAAGGCTCAGAGACTGGCCCCATCAACTCTGATCCATAGCAGATTGCCATCCCTGTATCACTAATGTAGCATCTGGAGTACATTTGACCTGAAGATTGCTAGGGAGAGTCAAGGCAAACTCACTTCTACTTTTGAATTTTTAATTTCTTATGGCAAGAGGGACATGTATCATTTCCACTCATTGTTCATGGGCCAGAATTAGTCTATGCCTGTAATCAAACTAAAAGGGAGGTTGAGAAAAGTAAGAGAGGTCCTAGATATAATTTCTATCTACTTCATAAATTAAGCTATCAACTTTGTTAGTTAACTATACAATATATAGAGATTATAGACACCAGTGCACTGAATTAAAAACTATTCATAGACTATATATGATAAGATCTATTATCTTATATGTGATTGAAGAGAGAGTAATTGAGTAAGGAGAGGGGATTAAGCAGCACAAGGTGACATTGAAGAACAAGAAAGGATTCCAATGACAGTAAAATTCCTTAGCTGAATAACTGCTGCAAACTGACATCAGGAAATAGTAAGGACCTAAGTTTTGCTGGATGTAGAAGCAAAATTACCATTTGGATGTGCTAGAAGTAAATACTCTTTGAGAGGCAGGGACACTCAGGAAGATGTGTAAATGCTTGGGATTTGAGACTATGACTAGTAAGAACATGGAAATTAGCCCGAGTCCCAAAAGACTAGTGAACCCCAAACCACTTTCACAGGTTTTCTGCAACCTTGTACCTGTGTAAAATCTAATTGGCTACAGTGGGATATTCTAAGAGGCAGAACATTGCTTGGCTACACCGTGAATATGTTGTAGGATAGTCATATTTTGCAGGAAGATGTACAGTGTAGCATGAGAAGTATCATTCTATTATCATGTCAAGCTAGTGCTAAACAATGATTAGGGGTTAGCTCATATGTGTTAAGAATTCATACAGTGAACCAGTGAGAATATACAATTGGGACAAAATCCTTACTTAAACTATGTTAAAGATCCTCATTCAAATAGTACAATGATTATGGATTTTTTGATATAAAATATTAGATTTTTTGAATCATAATTATTAATGACTTTTTAATGTTTTTCTAGTCCTTTAATCTATTTGAATATGCTCTCCACCTCCAAATACATGATTTAAAATATATGTAATAAACTCATACATATAGTGTTAGAAATACATGATCAACACCGAAGAATCTTAAAGATGGGAGTTTGGGACAAACCACATTTAAGTGACTCAACAAGGAGTGGAACAGAAAGTGTGGGAGAGGCCATGGGGTAAGAAAGGTATCAGGACTGAATCATTTCATGGAAGCCAAAGGTGCAAACCAAGAAAGACATCATGGAGTGGATGCATGAAAGAACTTGTACCGAGTTCATTGTTTAGAGAGATTGTTGGCAGTTTTGCTGGAGCTAACTCATGGGAAAATAGGGATAGGAAAGCCCAACAGCAGAGATGTCAGCTGAGACTACAGCAAACTTTTTGATAAGATTGGCTATGTTGTGCAGAGAGCAGAGATAAAATTCTCTCCATATTTTTCCTCTAGTCCATACCCTTTGCAAGCTATTGGGAACACTACTGATGTTTTGGAGGATGAGGGTATTGTTCAGGATGAGATACATGGTGCGTAAGGAGTACAGGTCTATTATGTGTTTAGAAGCAAAGGAAAGAGAAACAGCAACGCTTATAGCAGATGCAAAAGCACATATGTCTGTTTGGATAATGTAAGAATCCACAGGAAGCCTTAATTTAATTATATACCTAAAGCTCAATAGGCTTCTTGTTCTTTGAACAGAGTAAGAAATTGATAAACTAATGAGTTCTTTATTTCCTCACATGCATTTCAAAACGGTGACTTGTTTCTTGGTGTTTTCTCTCTGCCAAAATTACTCAACCTTTTATAAATGTCCATTTAAAAGTCAACAAAGGAAATGTTCACAAATAAATAAATATGGAAATTGTCAAGTTTTCATTATATCTCAAATCAGCATCCATTTAGCAGCAATTTCCTTTATCCTGCAAAGAAACATCTCTTGGATATGTTTTTGTCATGGAACTCATCTCATACTTCTTCTTGTAAGTAAATAAAAACGTGACAATCATCTCCATCTTCCCACAAAGCCAGCCTGCCAGCATCAGCAGTCAAAGTTGGAGCAGTAAAAGTTAACCATATGGTCACTTACTGTATTGCATTGATTTTGGGTAAAGAAATTGCTTTCCTTTATTTTTTCAATAAAATCTGCTGTTTACAAAATATCGATACTATGGAGAAAAGTGGTATCAGCTGCTGAGTTTTCAACACAAATGTTTTCCATTAATCAAGAAACAAGTTCAGAAATATGTTTTAAGAAAAGCTGCAGAGCTTTACTGTTTTTACTGCTCATAGCAACACATTTTATTTTTCTATGATGTTCACAAAATGCTTTTGCTACTCAAAGAAGGGAAATTCTTAGATACCATGTTTGATGAGAAGAAACTTTTCTACTAGACAACATGTACCCCATATAAACTTTCATTTATGATCACTAAGGCAATCTCATACACTTGATTTCTCCACCCATCAATGAACTCTCAGCCTTTCAGAAAATTCTTTACTTGATCCCCTTTTCTCTCCCCCCTCTCCTTCTTTCTCTTTTCCTCTTTTCTTCTCCCTTTGCCTTTCTTCCTCCTCCTCCTCTACCCTTGTTCTTCCTCTTCCTCATATTTGTCTTCCGTCTCCTCTTCTTTCTAATATTGGTCCAAATGTGACTTCATCCTTTTCTAAAGTTTCAATTTGAGCCTATGGGCTGAGTTTTCTCCAAGCTATCATTCATTGTCTTTAGAATTCCAGCTACATAGTTCCAACACCTGTACTAAAATCATTCTGCAAAATATCAACTAATTATCTTTACTCCCAAATGTACTCTAGTTCCAAAATAATATTTGCAAAATGATGCTACAGTGCACCCTAGCTTCAAATCCAGAAACTTTAGTCATTTGTCATTTACATTCCTACACCATAACAGCTTACTTCTCACATCTTTCTGACTTTTCCAAGAATGTGTCTGTCTAATTTAGTTTGCCCTCTTCATCTCCAAAGCAATTCCTGTAGTGATTCTACAGCCCATCCTTCAGGCCAACCCCATAGCCTCTTATGTATATTGTTGTGTCCCCAAAAGTCTTTCTTATTGGAGTAACATATGTGAAATAAAAATGCTCATGTTCTAACTTTGAAAACCTCAATTGATTCCCAGTAATTTACAATAAATTGTCCAAATCTTTAACAAGGCTTAAAAGTCTCTTTACAATCCATTCCCAAAAGATGTCTGCAAATTTATCTTCCAGTTAGACTTACCACAGTTCTTCAACAATCTCATCTCTTTTATAAATATATGCCCTTTATATATATGGTTCACTATAGCAACTGTATCCCACTAGCAAACTCCTAAACATCTTTCAGAATTTGTGATTAAAGCTGCAAATGTTCACCCATTTCTCTGTTCTCCTTGGTTTGACATAATACTAGACATGGGACCATAAACCAGGTTCCAGAAAATAAACTGTGGGGAGAAGACATGTCTACCATTGCTAGAGTTCCACTTTAAAATGATCTGCATAAGGCGAACAGGATCAAGTAAAGGTTTCAGATGCTCAGAATATGGTTGGAGGAAGATTGACTTCATGAAGCATTGCAATTGTGATATGAGCAAAATATCAAGCTTTGTTGTGTTTTGTCACTGAAATTTAGGGATTTTTTCTGTTATCTGAGTAATTATTTCTGATTTCATTTCTCCCAGATCCTCTTTTGTTGCCAGTTCAGAGAGTCCAGGTGGTTGAGTATCATATTGTTCCATCTTGTTTCCCTTTGAGGTTTCTGTAGGTGATCCAGAAGTCTGTTTTTGAGACTTGTTTACATGTCTTCTCATTTCCACAGGAGAGGGTGCTTCTGGTGCCCACGCGGCTCAGCTTCTCTGCCCTAGGAGCCTGGGATGGAGGTGGGGAGCTTCCTTCTGGGTGCTGGGACCGGCTGACCTTCTCTGCCCTAGGAGCCTGGGACGGAGGCGGGGAGCTTCCTTCCAGATGCTGGGACTGGCTGAGCTTCTCTGAGGGATTTTTTTGTTATAGCAGCTGTTACTTACCTTAACTATTACAATGACCCAAAATGTTATCATTTACAAACTACTTCAAAGAGAGGAATAACTCTTTCCAATGCATTTATGTTAATATGAGTGTGCCCTCTTGTAAGAACATAGCATTTTATTTTTTATTTGTCCTGCTAAGATTGTCTTTTGTAAATGAGTTGGAGATTTTTGTTTTGTTTTGTTTTGTTATTTTTGGTATGGGGAATCAAACTCAAGACCTTTTGCTTACAAGGCAGGCACGCCATCACTGAGCTAAATCCCCAGCCCCTATAAATGAGTTTTTAAAATAGGAAATATTGTTTGAAAGGAGACAATAGGGGTGACTTTTGTGAGGAAATATGTTTGAGAACTGTTAACTAAAATACTAATGACTATACAAATTATATAATTTCCTTGAGCTCCAGTTTTGTCACCCTTTAAATGAATACAGGATGAGAACGACATGAAAATATATGAAAGCTTGAATATAATTTTCAAACCACAGAAAGCATTTAGTTAAATACTAACACTTACTGTTATAGAAATTATAAAAGGAATTCTGGTTGTCTGGTATAAAATATGCACTGCTAGACAGCTTAAGGTTGTGAGCCTGAGACCATTTTCCCACGGTACTGCAGATAGAGTTCTGTGAACACTGCTCACTGTCTCCTCATGAAATAGTTACCAAAGGTTCTTCAGCTATTCCTCTTAGAAAAGAAAGCTGTAGGAAGAAGGATGAAAAAGCTGGTGATTGCAAATCATGATCTAATTAAATATATCATTTTTTCCTACAAAATTAAAATGAAATACTCAGTCAAAGAGATCTTTCTTTCTGCAGGAATAATCCTGTCTTCAAATCCAAACAAAACAGATTCTACTGAAGAGACCACTCAAATAAAGAATTTTCAATTGAATACAGTCCTTGGGATTCAAAAGAAAAAAAAATTTTCATTTGTTTTCTTATGGAACCAAATAAAAGTATTATTGATTCAATCAAGCATGTAGGAAGGTAAAGTTTTTACTTAACCATAGTGCATTATCTTCCTTTGTTTAGAGTATTGCATATATGACCAACTCATTAAGTGATAATTGTACATCTTTTTAAAATAAACACCTAACAAAAATTCCTGAGCATTTTTTAGTACATACAGAATACTCTAGAACAATCTCTTGTTTAAGAAGTTGTTTATGAGAAGCATGTTCTCAGGGACACATATAAAACAAATTATATTGAAAGAAAAAAATCTGTCTGCAGTTTCTTGAAATGTACTAAAAATAAAACAACATATACCACTCTTCTCTGTGCTGAGGAAAGTTTTAGGTGCTTTTTTATTCTCAAAGTTTTCTTACAAAGATATCTGCAAGATATGCATAATTCCCATTCTCCTTTTACAGAATCTAGACTTGTGGCTTTGAGATTATTTCATTTACTAAAATATATGTAGGCTTATCACTCTCATCATTCCCTAAGCTCTTGTGAGATTCTCAATATTAAACATCTAATTTATCTAATTTATTTAATTTATATATCTGACAAAACTTGGTGACTTCTAATATTACAAAGAAGGAACAAGGCTACACTTTGGTTGAGAATAACTTTCTATATTGTATTATTCCACATTGAAACAAGTATCAGCGGTAAAACCCAACAAGACACACATCAAAACTCTAATATTCAATATCAGAGAGTTTATCTATGTATTTGCCTTAATTTTTTCAGCATCTTGTTGAAAAATTATGATCTGCTTTTCAGATGATCAGAGAAAGAAACAGCTACACGAACACGAACTTTAATTTTTTATTTAGGGATTGTAAAGTTTTATCTTACAGTTCAAATCATTCTCAAAATACAGTTTTCTATGGGCTGGAGGCAAGAAAATGGTCTGCATTACAAATAATCATTCTCAGGTCGGGGATTTAGCTCAGTGGTTCCAGTGCCTGCCTTGCAAGCTCAAGGTCCCGAGTTCAATCCCTGGCACCAAAAAAACACAAAAAACGAATAATCATTCTCGTTCCATGGATATCAGCTCAAACCCTCCAGTCAGCATTTAGGAAAATCTTATGAGTTTGAAGATCCCATCAGATTGGAAGATGTATTGGTTTCCTACATCTGCAATAATAAATTACACAAAATTAATGACTTAAATCAACAGAAATTTATTCTCCCATGTTACTAGAAGTCAGAAGTATTAAATCAAGATTTTTCAAGGACACACTTTTTCCAAAGACAATAGGAAAGTACCATCTTCTGGCTTCTAGTGGCTCCGTGTTTGGGGCTCTCTGACTCCAAATTCTGTCTCCTTCTTGAGCTTATCTTGTCTCTTAGTATTTCTATGTGTGTTCTCCTTTCATTATGAGGACATGTGGCAATTGATTCAGGGACTGCCCTAAGTCTAATTTGATCTCGTCTTGAGAGCTTCAACCTAATTACATCCAAGAAAACCTTTTTCTCACAGGCACACTCACAAGAGGTCAGGATGTACTGTATTCTAGGAACCATCACTCAATCTGCTACAGAAGCTTAGAGCTCAAAATTTAGGTTCTGGAATTAGGTACACTTGAGTGGAAATCTGATCTTCACTCACCAAGAGAAAGACCCAGATCACTTTTCTCTTCTACAAATGCTGGGGATAGTGTTATAATTTCTGGCCTGAATTTGGTGGAAAATAATGATAGAGAAGTGAGACCCATGGCATAGTGTCCAGTAAAAATGTTTCCTATAATTTCCTTAATATCTAACATCACTGGAGACTGTGAAGCCTCATGCAGATAAGAGCAGTAGGCCAGAAATCAACCAGAAAAAGTTGGAGATGTGTACATCATTGGCCTCTTGCTCTAATTGAGCCAATTTTGTAAGATAAAATCTTCAACCTGAAAGGAAAACAACCGTCCAAGCCAATTCATCTGATACTACAAAAGATGAAAAAAATAAAGCAGAGAGAGAAAGAGAGAGGGAGGGAGAGAGAGAGAGAGAAGGAATGTTATAACTACACTGAAAGTTGGGGTACTAAAAAGCTACTCAAGACTTTCTGCTCCCTAATTAGTTTGTAGTTCCACATATTAGACAAATTTTTAGTGATAACTATCCCCATCAATAGAAAGAAAAACTAAAAATAAATGAAAAAATTTTACATTTACATTATTTCGTTCAAACAGGCTCTGTGTAGTAGTTTATTTTATATGTTTGAATATCCAGTTCAAATGATAGTATTGATTGGGGAAGAATAGCACCCTGTTGCACCCTGTTGGTAAGGGAGCATGTTGAAAGTCTCTTATAAAATTGGAGACACTGAGGCCCTACATTGTGATGAGTCTCCTTTGTAGTAGAAGCAGCCTCCCCACTGTAGGGAGAGGGGTCTGTAGACAAAGAAAAAATAAAATAGGAGCCTCATTAGATAATCTAGATAATCCTGACCAGAAGGAGTTAAAAACAAACTTTCCTAGAGAAATTCCCCTGGGAAACAAGTCAAAGAAGAGGGTAGAGAAAGAGAAAACTAGGTAAAGAAAGGCACCAAGTGGCCTTGGGACTTGCACTAAGAGATCAGAAAAAGAGCTGACAGAGCACAAAGAGAAGCCAAGGGCACAAACAATAAGCAGCACCCACCTCCAATAGAATATGGATGAAGCAAAGGGGGGCAGTTAACTAACTTTAAGGCAGTATGTACTCACACCTAAGCACTAACGTGTGTGTGTGTGTTCACTAGAGTCACTATATTATTCTCTCTAGGGTCATTATAGAGTATAATAGAAAGCCACACACACTCTCTACTAACTCTAAGCTAACCGTGAATAAGATACCCTCTTGCCAACCAGCCATCTGCTCCAAGGATAAGGCCTGAAAAGGTAGGTCAAGGAAAAGTAAACAGAGAAAAAGAAGCCGCACGCAGACTACCAGAAAAAAATGATGTTAGACAGAGGTGCCTGGAAGCCAATCCAGTTACGGGAAGTTCTGGGTGGTGGGGAGCAGGGGAGGGTCACTCACCCCCTGTAAAAGCCGTAGAGAACAAAAGGCCAAAGGGTCCTCCATCTTTCCGGAGCCCCTACCCTGATTCTTTCTTATCAGGGTAGCTATCTATCTTCTTTCCTCTGCCTTCCTTTTCCTCTTTACAAATAAAGTGTCTTCTTTTTGTTAAACTTTGTCCCTCTGATTTTTTATTGGGACTGAGTTTACAATCCTGGTGGGCTGCTCAGACAGCAGAGCAGTGGTGCTTGTCTACCATGCGTGACATCTTTAGTTCCTTGACCAAGAGCCAAGACGGCACCACCCACAGCAGAATTGACCTTTCCAATCTAGTGACATCAGCCTCCTTACTCATTGTAAACCTGCCTTTCCTTTCCACCCGAGCAGATTTAACCCTGTATCCTTTAGGATGCTAGTGGTTTTCCCTAGGCAATTGTTCTACAAGACAATGCTGATTCTCCTCTGGCCGTATTTCTGCCATCCCTCTTTGTAGACTCATAACTAGATAGAAGTCACAGCAAGTGCCTAAAATGAGTTATAAAATATGACCCATGAGAAGGTACATTATATTCCAGAAGAACTGCCTGAGTTTTCTACCCTATTTAGACAGAAACCCAGGGAACAGGTGTGGAAACAGGCACTAGGTCTGCAGTGTAAAGGTGGAAGGAAGATAAAACTGAATTAGTCTGAATTTATTGACATGGGCTAAGCAGAGATTCTGCATGTAATGTTACAGCATGGGGATTTGAAAGGACTTTTAACGATTTCTTTTGCATTGGCTGAAATATGAACCAAAACGTGGCCCAAAGCAAGCAGATTAACAATGCAATAATGTCTTTGGTTTAATGTAGAGGAAGGCTTAGGCAAAGGGGAATGTAAGAGTGGATTTGTCATTTGAAACCTATTCATACACACTGGGAAAGTCCTAATGATACAACTTTCACCATTACTATGAGAAATATGTTTATGAGAGGAATACTGTCATTGTTGAAGAGTGACCATAGACCACTCTTCAGGCAGTACAGGTCAGACAGTACAGAGGAAAGTATGGTCACTGAGTTGGGAAATCTAAATATAATGGTGGTAATTGTATCTCAGCACATTAAGGACTAAGTGGCCCCACTCAACTATCAAACACAAAGGGTGCCAATGATGGATGCTAGAGCCAAAGTGGCAATTAGAATAGTCAGATTCACACAGATCTATGAACATGAAGGATGCAGGAGTGGAGATTCCCAACACAACCATAAACATTCATGCAGCCTATACAAACTAAAGACAGACCTTAGAGAATGACAGTGGATGTGGACTATGGTAAAGTTAATAAGGTGACAACTGTATCAGCAGCTTCTGTACCAGATGTGACTTCATTACTTGATGAATTATCAGTTTCTGTGGTATTTGATATGTAGCCACTGACCTGGCAAATAAATTTTTCTAGAGCCCTATTAGTAACATCTACCAGAAGCTGTTTGCTTTCAGCTGGCAAGGGCAGTAATACACTCACTGTTCTACTCTCGGTCATATATTATAAGTTAGTTCTTCAGGGTTCTATAGCACCTTTTCCTCCTATAAATCTCACTGGTTCATTACATTGATGCAATTATGTTGATTTGATCTAGGGACAAAGAAGTGGCACTGCAGTAGATTTAGTAGTTAGAAAATTACATGCCAGTGGGAAGAAAATACATTTTGAAAAATTTAGAGTCCTTCTATATCAGTGAACTCTCCAGTGATCTAATGGTGTGAGGCATATAGAGAAATACCTCCTAAGATGAAGGACAAATTATTGCATCCACTTCTAAGTCTATAACCAAAAAGGAATCATAAAAGCTGTGGGTCCCTTTGGATTAGGAGGTAACATATTCCTAATTTCAGTATATCACTCTAGACTGTTTAAAGATTTCTTCTCAAAACTATTATTTTTCAATAAGTCCCATTATACAAGAAGGTTCCACAATAGGTCCTGGCTGCTGAGCAGGGTGTTCTGCCACCTGGGCAAGCAGATCCAACTACTGCTTAGAGTGGCTGTGAGTGGTGTTGTTACAAGCTGTTGCTGGACCCTATACTTAACTGCAATCTGGGTCTTTATGATTTTGGAGCAAGGCTCTGCCATCATCTGTAGATTTCTACTCACTTTTTGAAAAATACCTCTTTACCTACTATTGGATGTTAGACAGTGAACACTTTATCTTGGATCACCTAGTTATCACAAGATTTGAGCTTTCTATTGTGTACTGGGAGTTATCTGACCCACCAAGGGACACATTTGTATGTGCACATCAAATAGAAGTGATGTATGCATGATCAGTCTGAAGCAAACCCTGAAGGCTCAAGTAATTTACATGAAGACACAACCCAAATGCCCATGCGCCCCATCCCTGAGACCCTGCACTCTCTTAAAACCTCACTGAAGGCCTCATGAAGAGACCTTATAATAAATGAACAATGAGACACAAATGAGTCCTGACTTATGATGGTTATGCACAATAGCAGATATCACAAAATGTGGACAGTGCTACAAACCTTTTCTGGAACAGCCCTGAAGGTCAGTAGTGAGCTTCCTAGTGGGAGGAACATTGAACAGTTTACCTGGTTAGCTCCTTTGTTTGGAAAGATAAATACACAGACTTGTGATTATAATATCAATTGTGAGCCACAGCAGAAAGTTCAAGTAGTTGTAAAAAACCTGCTTTGGAGAAGATGTAAATAAATCTCTTAATGGGAAAAAATAAGAAATTTGTGCATGATGTGAATGCTCACCAAAGTGTGACCTAACAGAGGAGGATTTTAATAATCAAGTACACAAGATATCTCATTCTATAAATACCAGCAGTCTCTTCCCCTGGCCATTCCTGATATTGTCCAGTGAGCTCATGAGCAAAGGGTCTATGGCAACAGGAATAGAGTTTACGGATGGATTCAGCAATAGGGACTTCTAGTAATCAAGGTCAAATTTGCTGTACTTACTGCTGAGTGTCCCTTCTTCCAGCCAAATAAACCAAAATTGAGTCTTCAATATGGCACCATCTCCTTGGGCTGGTGAGGCAGCTACCTGGCAACCATCAACAGGTTCATTACATTGGTGCAATTAAATCATTGAAGGGATAGTATTTTGTTCTTACTGAAAGAGACATTTACTCTGGATACAGATTGGCCTTCCCTACCTGTGTCAAACCACCATTCATGGATTTAAAACCATGGTATTCCACACAGCATTGATTCTGACTAAGAAAGTCACTTTATAGGAAAAGAAATGCATTGACTTTTTTCCCATTGGCTTTCCCATTTTCCCCCACCATCCTCAAACACTTTGCTTGATCAAACTGTGTAATGGCCCTTCAAAGACTCAGTTACAGCACCAGTTCAGAGTTAATACTATTCAGGACTAAGGTGAGATTCTTGCTATGTCTTGACTCATGTTGAAATTTGGTTGTCGTTGTGATGGCATTGGAATATTCAAGAGGTTTTTTACATCATGAAGGCTTCATCATCAATAATGAATTAATAGCATTGATTTGGAATATATATAAAACTACATATATATTATTATATATAATATATATATATATTCCATCTACTGATTTTTAGCCCTGCTGATATTACTAGCTTTCAAGTCATTTTATTTACATCCAATTTCAATATACTTATTTTAACATTTAGTTTCTCTCCCTTCCAGAGTATAGAGTCCACGAAAACTGTAGAGAGCTACTTCCTCACGAGGCACCATTTCTGAGAGTGGACTATTCCACTCTCCACAGCAGAGTGTTCTTGGTCACATAGTGAGTGCCATATAATTAAGAATTTAATGTGTTAATACATTTTAACTCATCCTCACTTGGTAGATATGCAATAAGCTGGACATTTAGAGGAGTTCACTGTTTAAAAATTCACTTTTATATCTCCCATACAGTGTTATGCAAATGATTAATGTTCAACCATGTCTACAGCTTGAAGAGTTTTGGAAGACTATAAGCTAGTAACCTGACTTTTTCCATAGAGGCTTATGGTTAAGCTCATTTTAAATTACCTTGATGGTTCTAAAGCTATTTCTAACATAATTCTAACATTCCAGGTTGGTAAATTGTGTTTCCAGAGAGTTGAAGATGGTATAAAGAACTTGTGTACAAGAACAAATTACAAAACTAATTTGTAGGCTGGATGTAATTTTAAGGCTATGCCAAAAGTCTTTTTAACATCATCCATGTATCTAAGTTTGGGGAAAGGTTACTATATGCCCTGCTGATGGACTTCAGAGGGTACATAATCACTCTCCCAGGGCTTCAAGAACAAATAGCAACATGCTACTAAGCTAGTTGGCACCAAGTCTGTATGCTAGTCTTGGATTTGATTAAATGAAGCAATTATAATAGAACAGCTCAAGGCAGAGCAATCTAGAGAAAAAACCCAGACTACTTCTCAGGCCAGGATACCAAGATATCAAATTTACCTTATCAGTGGACAGTTTAATGAAACAAATTTTGAAAAACAAAAATAAAAAATCAAGTAGTTATCTGAGTAAATAACGTGTATTAGGTTAGGACTGGTGCAACACGGTACCACAAACTGAGTGGTTGGAATAACCAAGATTTACTGTCTCACAGCTTTGAAGCCTGGAATTTCAAGATCAAGGTGTTGGTAAGATTATGCATCCTCTGACGGTGTTGCAGAAGAATCTGTGTCTATTTTCCCCTGTATATGTGTCTCTGTGTTTAAATTTCTCCTTTTTATAAAGACACAGTTTTATTAAGGAAACCACATTTTTATTAAGGGCCCACGCTATATTGGTGTGACTTTATCCTCACTAATTACATCTGTGACATTCTGAGACAGTGGTCTTCCACTTTGAGAGAGTGACAGTTAAGATTTCCATATTATTAGGGGGAACACACAATTTAACCTGTAACCCAGAGGAAAAAACTTTAAAGAAAAGTACCAGCCAGGCAGGACTTTGGCAGAGTGGCACAGCGATTCAAGGTTCTCTCATTTCCTGTACCAACAGCCTATCATACAGGTAGGCTGTACTAACTCGAAGGCTGAAGGTAACTGTGAACTCCGTGTTCTGTGAGGCCTCCATCTCTGTCCTCACTACAGTGGCAGCCAGCTGAGCTAAACTAGGGAGTGCAGGCCAACCAGCTAATGTGAAAACACAGGCCCACAGTCAAGTTCTGCACATATCACCTGGTCAATTTGACTGACATTAAAGAGCTGAGTTTGATGGATGCCGAAAAGCAGTGGGCAAATGAGCCTACTCAGGCAAGCAGCCTGACAATTTTGTGAGGAAAGACATCATTCAATTGCGCTTCTCGCTGCAGCTCCAATTTTCAGGCAGCCCAATACTACATTTTCAACTCTTTGAAGTAAAGCTCTTAGCAAGAAATTGCGTGTTATTTCAAAGTGAAAGAGACACAGTTGTGCCTTCCACCCTGCCTTAAATCAATGTGGCTATTTTCCAATATTAATAAGAAGTTCTATTTCTGCAAAAATAACTTCAAACTCCATTGTCCCTCCTGAGTTCCAAGGGTTTGATGACAAACTTGGCATCAGTTTTATAGATCCAAATCAACATTGAACACAAAAGAAAGCCCAGTGCCCTATGGCAATGCAGGAATAGGTTTATTTTTGGACTGAAACCCCTCAACACAAGCACAGCTGTGCAGGTCTTGTCTAACTTACGGGAGACTGCCTTCATGTCCCAGAGAATATACAAAAGTCAGAAACCAAGCTCAGACGCTATTATTAATATGAAAAAAAAGTTATGCCCACACTTGGTTTTCAAAGATAGTAAATCCACCAACACCTGTAAAATTAAATAAATATTTGGAGTCTGAAGTTAACATATAGGAGAGAGCCAGGAAAAAGTGGAAATTTCAAAATTTCTCTGCCCACTAAAGATTAGCTATACATTAACTATCCAAAAGCCACGCATTTGATTGTGAAACTTTTATCTTATTGATATTATTAAGGACAAACATACAGTCCTGTGAAACTGACTCCATGGTGAGATGGGAATCAGCCATAGTGAGTTTTTAGATATATCTCATTTGATCAAGTCAGTCTCCTACTTAAGCATTTTACTGATACCTTGCTGAGTTCAGGCTGCTTGTCAGAAAGGCTTTAAGAATATAGTCTTCAGTTGACTCTTCAGACTCCTTTCTATACTCCACTTATGTCCACTTCCTTAATCTTCATTCAACAAACAACTGTATCCACACTCCTCCCTGCTGGGGATATTGTGGTACCTCCTCTGAAAGTCTTGTGCTTCTTCAGTCCAGGACTCAATATTACACACACATGTACACACATGCACACACACACACACACACACACAACCTCTAAAGTGGATCAGATACTCCTTTCATGTGTTTCTCTACAGTCATCCATGTTGCAGCTATTACCACGTATTTCACACATGGAGCTTACAAAAACATCTCCCTCACCAAATATATATACCCTGACAGTGGAATTGAAGAATGCATGTTATTTGGTCAATAGATGTGTAACCAAAAAGAAATATTGAATGACAAAAAGTTGTCACAAGTTTTTGACCATCTCTCAATTAAATGTGGTTTCAAAAAATAACTCCAATAATTAAACCCTATTCATAACAGAATCATGGTCAATATAACATAAGAAAATATCTCTGTTCTAGTCCACATTTTATTAGTGATTCTGCAGGGGATTTTTGCTGAGTTTTGGACATCATATTGTTTAACAACTTTCTCATTTTTCCAAAAATTGCTAACTTCACTTAAGAAATCTTAGGAAAAAATATATTCCAAAGAATTATTTAAAATATGCACTTTCTTAGTATCTGCAAGAGACATTTTTTGATATTTTGTATAAATTTTCCAGCCCTTTCTAAAATTTAATGAGCATCAACATTTAAAAACTATGGTAAAGGGCCAGGAATTTAGCTCAGTGTTTCCGCCACCTGCCTTGCAAGTACAAGGACCTGAGTTCAATCCCCAGTACCAAAAAAATAAAATAAATTAAAATAAAATAGAAACTATGGTAAGAATATGACTTTCTTGTTTTCCTTTGAAAGTACTTTCATCTTGACATAGTATCATGACTGGGATGGACAAGAAGGCAGGAAAAGCCATTTTCTTTGTATATGAAAAGAATTCTATATGATATTTGTATAATAAATTGATTTTTCACTTAAAATATGGTAACAGATTAGGCTATGTCAATGTAATGTTGACATAATGATGAACAGTATTTCCACTTGCTTAAGAAATAACATTTTAAAAGCTAGAGCTTTGTAAAAATCATTCTTTTATCTGGAAGTAATTAAATAAATGGTATTACACATTTTCCCCATTTATTTATAACATTAGAGAAATGATACATCTATAAATTGAATCCTAAAAATGATCCCTCAAGTTCTCTCAAATATGAGATGACTGATTGAATGGTAATTGATCTTAAAATTAATTATTGAGAATAATTTCAAATAAATTATGTTTTACTGTATGCAAGGAATAATATATTAAAGGAAGATAATTTATTTTATGGAGGCTCAAAAATGAACACCTATATATTAACTACTCCAAAATTATGAGAAATATTTAGGTATATTCAACAACAGCCTCAAGATAGGATGTTCATTAGTACACCATTCATAACAGCCCCCCCTTTGAAAACTATCCAAAATCCCCATAACAGTAGAATAAATAATAATTACGTATACTTTACAGTATACATAACAAGTTATCACTATGTGTGACAACATGGATGAGTCGCACAAGCATTAGATTGACCAAAAGAAACAAAGGAAAAAATAAAATCCGATAAAACTACTGTTGGGTGTTGCAAGTGGGGATACACGTCACCCTTGTAGGTGAGTTTTCACTTGAAAGGATAATTGAAAGCTTTTTCTGTTCCTTGATAAAAAAATAGTTAATTTCTGAGAATACATTGAGCTGGACATATGCTAGGTGCATTATTCAGTAAATATGTCTTACATTGAATAAAATTTTGTAAATAGCCTATATGTTCACTGGTTTTCTATACTCAACATTAAAACATCATGTGACCAAATTATAGGAGTTATATTTTAAAGAATTCAAAGTTGAGAACTTGATTCATTAACAGAATTTAAACAATGTGAAATGTTTTAAAAATTATCTAAGATGTTATGAACAAAAATATGGGTTTTGGAGAGAAATAGTAGCAATAAACTCTGGAAACCTTGATGTCTTTCTACTAATTTATACTTAAATTCATATATTTGAATTTAATAGCAACTAATTGTAGAGTTCTTTCAAGTTTGATTGCATACTGCTTTATACATATGTTGGTTTGTCTGTTATAGGAACTCTGGAAGAAATTAAATCTCCTACAGTTTTTAAGCATTTTAATCCATGGATAAAACTACATAGTCATACTATTTTGCTTCCAAAAAGCCTTCCACTTACTCAGTAAAGCAGTACATTTAGCAAGCCACAGGCCACTGCCATTCACATAATCTCTATGCAAACAAGGACACAACAGCCAACTTCTTTATACTTCCAAGACCAACAAAAACAGATATTATTCCTGGAAAGAAATAATTCTGTATCATATAACTGACTCAAAATATTATTTTTCAATTATTGGCATCTTTGTTCTACTGAAGTCACAGATACTTTCAGAAAATACCCAGATAGTAAATATTTAGGCTTTGCAGGCTATACAGTCTTTGTAGGCTATACAGTCTTTGCAAAGATATTCTGCTTTTGTAATATTGAAGCACCCAGATGCAAGATGCAAATAAATGAGTGTAGCTCTGTTTGAATAAAACTTTATTTACAAAAACCTCGAGCGGGTCAAATTTGACCCATAGGTTATAGTTTTTCCACATTTAGTTCTAGGGGACTGAAGAAGTGTTTTGATTTACTTTGTTTTACCCTTTCCTATGTGGTCATCATTTAATGATCATTCTTAATCTGGGATAACCATAGTGGGTGTCCTTAAACTCTTCTCAATATTAAAATTTGAGGAAAACAATGTAGTTATCTAGCATGCATAGACCAACAGAAATTTCAGTCTTCTAGAAGGTTTACGAGAATTTCTCCAAGTTCTTTCTTTTAAAATATTTTTCCAGTCTTTTCCCCTAGATTATTACTATCCACCCTCAAAGCGTAGTTTAAAATTCACATCTTTGTAGAGTCTTTCCTAATTACCCCTGTGTACTTATAATCCACTGTGTCTCCCTTATGTACTTATAACCATCAATAAGCAACTTAGAGTAGTCATACACTAGACTCTAAAACCAGCCTCTGTAGACACAAATAATCAGCTATGAATTTATTACTTCTATGACTTTTGACAAGTTGTTAATCTCTCTGTGCCTGAGTCTTGGTCTTTAAAATGGAGATAGTAGCTGAGCGTGGTGGTGTACACCTGTAATCCCAGCACTGGGGAGGCTGAGTCAGGAGGATCACTGTGAGTTTGAGGCCATCCTGGCTATATAGTGAATTCAAGTCCAGCCTGAACTACAGAGCAAGACTTTGCCTCAAAAAACCTAAAAAACTAAGTAAAAAGTAAAATAAAGAGAGTAATATTACCTCCTGCTGTTATGAAGATTAAATTATTAAATGCACATAAAGCACTTTTAACAATACCTGAATATAAAGTTATACGTTATTTATTATTAGTGATAGGGAAGTCAATAAATAAGTGAATGGTCATCCATTCACTTACTAAAAATTAAAAAAAGGAAATAATTTTGTCATTTGTCTTCAATTATAAACTTCATAAATGTAGAAACTTTTCATAGTTTTCTATTGCTGACTAAGAATAGAAATTGCACAAATTAGTGACTTATAATCATATTCGTCCATTAACTTATACTTCGGAAGGTTCACTGAGATCTATGCTCAAGGTTTCACATGAAAAACATCAGCTCTTGGCTGAACTGGGGCTCTTGCCTGGGTGCTCAACTCAAGAAACAATTCAATTCCAAACTCATTTGTCTTCTTCCTGTTATTAAAATAATTTGTTCCCATGGGTTATAGGACTGAGGTCTTTTCCTTGCTGATTTACAGCTAGGGCCACTCTTAGCTCCATATGACCATGTAGATTCTAGGTACTGTAGCTGCTTTCATCTTCAAGCCAACAATGATACATGAATATAAAATTTTTGTATCGCAAATGTATAATAATTTTTAAAAATGTAAAGCAATATTTTTCATAGATTTATTGGGTCCCTTTGGTAAAGTATCATTCAAATCCAGTGTTTACTTCTTGAGTTTCTGTCTGAATGATCTGTCCATTGTTGAAAACAGGGTATAGAATCACCTACTATTATTTTGCTGCTATCTCTTCAGTTCTGTTGATGTTTGCTTTATGTATTTAATGCTCCAATGTTAATGAATATACATTCACAATAATTAATTGTATAACAAATTGATCCTTTATCATCATATAATTACATTATTTTTCTCTTGTCACAGATTTTAACTATTTTTTCTGATGTAATTATAGGCATTCCTAGTCTCTTTCCACTCCCGTTTGTGTGGAATACATACTCTTTCCGTCCTTTCAGTCTGTACGTGCCCTTAAAGGCTAAAGTAGGCTGTGAATAGTTCATTTTTATGGCTCCAAAAAATCACTGCAGACTGAGTAATTTATAAACAATAGACATTTTTCATAGTTTTTGAGGCTCAGAAGTCCAAGATAAAGATGCTTCCAGGACTGGTCAGGGCAGAGCTACACTTCCAAGAGGGTGCCCTATTGCTGCATCCTCCAGCAATGCTGTGTCCTTACTTGGCAGGTGTATTAAGACTAAGAATGTACTGCCTTCAACCTTGAACTTTTTTGCAAAGGTACTAACCTCATTCACATGGGTAGAGTCCCTGTGACTTAATTACTTTCCAAAGGCAGTGTCTCTTTAATAGTGTTGCAGGAACACCCTCATCCAAACCACAGCAGCTGCATATTGTTGAAAATTTTTAATCTATTCATCCATTTTGCATATTTTGATTGAAGAATATAATCCATGTACATTAGAGTAATTATTAATAGGGAAAATTATCATTATTTCTTAATGACTGGCTGACTGTTTGTCGTTCCTTTGCTCTTTTGTCCCACCTTGTTGCTTTCCTCTATGGGGTGTTGAATTTTTAGAATGGTATTTTTTGATATCTTTCTCTTTTTTATCTACTAGAGATATTTTTTCCTTTGTGATTACCATCTGGGTTTATATGAAACACCTTACAGCATTCTATTTTAAGATCAAAATAATTCCAATTAAATTCAGATCAAAAGCCCTACACTTTTACCGCTTTCCCTCCACACTTTACGCTACCAGTTTTACAATTTACCTCTTTTATGAATTTTGTGTATTCATCAATAATTTTATGGCATGTTGGTTAACTTTTGTATTAGTTTGTTTCAATTACTTTTTGCTGAAAGTATTCTGGAGTTATATCACACTTTTGCTTTGCTTTAGCAACTACAAGCTGATAGCAATAACAGATCTACCTTTAAAGATTGAACATATTTCCACTGTTAGAGTCATTGATTTTCTGAACATTGTTTCTTCCTACACAGGATTGGGATGCTGAGCACAAAACAATTTCAATGAAGCTTTTTCTTTCCAAATAATTGATACTGGGTTGTTGTCTTGTCACTGACTTCATTTTCAATTGTCCAATATATATCTGTTTCAAATTAATCATGTATGTTTGAAATACCAAAGAGTGTGCTCCCTAAAATTATCTTGGGAATATCAAAGCAAATAAATTTGAATTCTGACAAAACATAAAAGAGATTAATGAAGTAGTGTTGTGGAAGAGAATTATAATTCCCCATCCCTTTGACCAGGTCTTGATTTTTATTTTAATGTTTGAATAAAACACTACATAAGATATACAGTGTCTCACTCTCAGACAAAAACTTTCATACCAACATGTGAGTCACTTCATTGCTCTCTTTTCTCACTGCTAAAAGACTGGCAATCTTCCAGATAAAAACTGCTCCATTAGTGTGGATATCAGAGTAAACATGGGATGCAGCAAATAGTTTGAGATGCAGTGTTGCCAAGAATGAGAAATGATCCTCTAACTCTGTTTGTTACTACAGCACAACTTTACATATACTGACATTCAATACATGTAATTATATATGTAATTACAGTGATTTCTTATTGAACAACAATAAGCTCAAGACACTTGTAAATAAAGAAATAAAGGTAACATCTGTCCTACTAGAGCTTACTCACTGTAGTGTAAAGGATGAAAAGGCTTAATAACTAGAAGATTAGATTACCTTCACATTTCCTTCCAACTATACTCCCATCCCTTGAATTCTAAATTTGTCTGGTTTTGTATAAAAAAGCAACAAGGATGAATAATGTGAGACTGTGAGAACCTTGGAGGCTGAGAAGGTTCACAAAACTAATAAATAAGGCAGTTACCTTTTCTTCTGTCAATAAAAATTCATCCTGGGAACATGGATGCAAACAGGAGCAGATTCTACATCCAGTTGCAATGCAGAAGCCATGCAGAATTGTCAGAAATGATTCTTCCCTTCTCTTTCAGCATCCATGGGGAAAACCAAAATCTACTCTGCAGCCAACTTTCAGCTTTGAATGGCGAGATGGTTCCTAGCAATCCTTGCTGCTTTCTTTGCCAGCCAGAACTGCTCTCCAGAGCTATCCAGCACTACTGTACATCACCGGGTATGGGAGACCTGGTCAGGGAACACCATGGAAACAAAAGGACTGCATTATTATTTGACTGTGGCCTGCCTCTGGTTTTCCAAGGACTCTCAGTATGGAAATGAAGCAATTGAAGCCAGCATGCATTGGGTCTGATGACTGTCCCCTTCTCCCCTAACAGGAGCAGGCAGCATTTTATGGGACTCATAAAAGGGTTTATGAGGCTTTGATGGGAAGTTGGCAGCCCCGGCTGATGAAAAGCAGCTCTTCTCTGCACCTTCATGAAGGGTTTACGGCTACACAGAGCCAAGGCAGAGGGGGGTGAATGGAGTCAAAGGAATGGGCCCTGGTAAGGAAGGGAAAGGGAACAACTTAATAGTCACATGTCACATAAGAACATTTGAAGGCATCAGCATACTGCAGAGATCTTGAACTGACATTCTGCATAGTCTGAGACTCCTTAATCCACTCAGTCTACCTGCAAATGTCAGCTTTACCTAGTAACTACTCCATCTTCCTCCCATTCCATATTAGGACACCTCCAGCCTGGTAACTGAGATGATGAGCTTTGAAGACAGGCAACCCGGCTTTCAACTCTCCTCTATGACATTATCTGTACAACGATAACCATCATGAAATTAGGGAACATTCAGTGGAAGATGTGATTTTTGAGACTAGTTTTATGCCATGATAGGCAAGTCAAATAACCTACCAGATTCTAAGTTACCTTATTGACAACACAGTGGGAGTAGGATTGTGATGTAGAAATAAATTCAGATATTATATGCGAACATGACATGTACATTTTAAGAGAGAATACAAATTTTAAAGGGATCATGCAACTCTTCAAAATAGGTCCTTAAATAATAATGATGAAATAGTCAAACATTTATGTATCATGTAAAATGTGTCATATCCTATTCTAAGCACTTTAAATTTATTAATGCATAAGCTTCACTATACTGCTCTGAGATACCTACTTTATTATCTTCAGTCAAGAGAATGCAGGAAACCATGGCACAGATAGGTGAACGAACTCATCTAAGGCAGAGCAAAAAATAAAACTCAGGCAATCTGCCTTTTTTACCCTGACTATATTCAATTTCTGTGATTTCTATAAATATTTGCAAATTTAGGTATAAATTTTCAAATTGTCAGACACGCAGATTTTTTTCTTAGTGAACCAGATGGTTGGTTCCACGCATGTGATAAGTGTAGCTATAGCTGATTTCCACACAGAAAAAAAAATGTGTGGTTTATCAAGTTGATGTATATTTCCCTTATTCATTCCACAAGAATTGACTGAATGTTTACTATGTGGTAGGTACCACCATAGATGTTGACAAAGAAACATTAGTAAAATTTTCAAAACCTTCATTGAGTTTTCTGCATCTGCTACTTACAGCTCATTTCGTCATTTCTTCATGCTGTACTCAACCTGGCTTTCATTATAGTCAACTAATTAACCACATTCTCAAAAGGTCACATTCTTGTCACTTACTACAATGTCTGCAGAAGCACACATACACACACACACATGCGTGTTCTCATCATATGAACTGTATTCAAAGTCTTCGTTTACCACTTGTTTAAAATTCTTCCCCACTTGGCTCAGTAACAATGTTTTCCTCCTAAGAAATGGTTTTCATTGACTCATTTTCCTCCCCAAGTCTTTTTTCATGAACATTCGGTGACTTCCCAGTGCTTCTTCTAATCTCTGCTCAGTGCTTTCAAGATCAGTTCTTATGATTTGTCTCTAGTTTTACCCCTCACTACTTGCTTCATGCATGAAAGCCTCCAAGAAAATTTATTCCTCTACCTTCATTATTTGTCCTGACTCTATATATTTGTTGGCTTTGTTCTCGGAGTAAACTCTCCTCTATATGAGTCTCTTCTCTCTTCAGGTTGAGTACCATATAGAAGGAACTTTCTCCTTTCCTTCACTCAGTGGTAATTTACTGCACCCCCTCATGCCTCTGTCAGTACACTTACTGTATTGCTCCACAGTTCATTCTATGTTTGCCTATCAGTCTCGGGTGAGCTGTAAATATCTTAATGGCATGGATGAGGCCCTCATCATTTTGTTCTTTCCCCATGCTAGCAGAGTCGTAGTCATGGTAAAGATTCACTAAGCATTTACTGGGTGGGTGGCTGGATCGATCCCCCAGTGACCATTGGCTCACAGTCTTCCTACTAAAGCATATGATTTATGACATTTAGTACAACAATGGACTAGATATTCTTATTGGCAATGTCTCTTCTGAAAACATTTTCTGTTATAAAATAATCTTAATGCCTATAATTAGCAAAATTACAAGAAAAAAAGCTTTGGAAAGAAAAAAAAGACTGTTGCTGACAACATTGGGTTGAAACTCTGAGATTCTGCATACTGTATGCCAACCACATCCATGAACAGCTCCAGTGCCTCTGGTTAAATGTGAAGGGAACTTAAATGGAGAAACCCTCAGTATCACCCTGTCTCTGGACTCTTGCAGGTCTATGCTGCTCCTTTCAGTGGATAGTATGGGCCCAAAATATTGCATTCTTCAAGCAAGGAGAAATTAAGAAATTCCAAAACACATCATATATAACACCATCCTTTGCCAAGGTTTTTGGGCATAAAGCAGAGTTTGTACTTGTCAAGGGACTGTTTTATAGGAAATTTTGAAAAGGATATTTACGAAAGAAGGAAATGCCAATCACCAACCGTCCCTGCCAAGTCTAAAGCTCTAGAATTGTAAGACCATGAATTATGAGCACATATATACATATGTATTTGTTTATATATGTTTAATGTGTGAATAAACACATATGTATTTTATCTATGTGCATATATGATGTGTGCAAACCTTGGAGGGTTGAAGGGAAAATAGAATAATAATGAGGATGAAGAGATGGTAGAAAGGGGACTAACTCCATTCAATTGACATAAAACGGTTTATCTATTTATGAGCTGAAAAGAAAAAGAAGTGGACTCTGAAGATATTTATCAATACTCTGCAGGTGAAGCCACCACTCTGTGGTTGTCAATAAGGAATACAGAGAAAAGGTGTAATAAATTAACAGTGAAAGCTTCCCATCCATAGACATGATTACATTTTCTAGCCCTAAATTCTGCCTAAATTGAACAGAAATAAAATAAAAAGAAATTAAAGTAAAATGCACTTTCCTTTGTTTTTCATATTGGCATGTTCTGGGAAGAAAATATTCGTGTGAGACTTTGGGGAGGCTTCTCTTCATCCTCACTCATTTGTCAGGTCAACGTGAAGAAAGGAGAAATTAGCGAGACAGGCGGTCCAGTTTATCAAATTTTGAGCATAAGTATCTCTTGGTTTGAATAACAGCAAAGCCAAAAGAACAACTCCAACTATGATCAAAAGCAAAGCATGGGTATTTTGAGTAAGAATGCATTCATCTAATTTTTCCAGGAGAAAACAAACCCTTGATTTGCTTGGATTTACAGCAGGCCTGTGCATCCCACTGCTCGAGGAGCTGATAATGCCACCCCATGAACTTGTAACATTACGCGATTTACGTGGCCTTGTTCGTGACTTTATTGTCCAAGGTTTGAGCAGGAGTTGTAGGTGACACCAGAGCCCTGTGGAGGAGAGGGTACAGTGTGGTGCTGACTCTGCCTTCCCCCTGTGCCTCCACAGTCAGCTTGCTGCCCTTTTATAAAATGGTATACAATTTTTAAACAGGAAGTTTTGCCGCTCACATACATTAAATGTATATTTTATATGTGGCCCAAGATAATTGGCTACATTTGGGTGATTTGTTTTCTCTCTTTACTCAAAGTGGCCCAAGGTAAGCCAAAAGGTTGCTGTACAATAATGGGTGGAGAAGGGAGTGGGGAGAATCCTTCAGTTACATCCTATGCACTGTACAAATGTCACTTCACACATCTCTCAAAATAATACTCCAATGCACACTGCTGTCCTCTGTTTTACACATGAGGTTACCATAGGCTGAATATTCTAAGTAGCCAGCCTAAGGCTGTCCAGTTAATTAATACAAATATTACAAGCCCTATGGGTCTGTCCCAAAACCATGGGCTTTGTAACACTCACCCTTTATTTCCTCTGTTACAGTACATTTCAGTTTACATATACTCTATTTTGTTAATCTAATTATTTTTTACATTACATTAAGTAAGAGATAAGAAAATCAACAGAGTTTAACTATAACAGCATAGATAAGCAAATGGAGCCTCAGAAAATTTAAATTGTTTGCCCAAAACTCACTTGTTCAGTGAGGCTCTTGACATATATTCAGCCTATATACATTCTACATATATTCTAAAGCCAGCTCTTCCTGTAGTTCTGTGTTTCACCAAACTCAGTACTAAGATAAAATGTTGCATATGTCTTTATTCTTTAACATATTACCCCATTTAAAAACAATAGATTAGAATTTTGCACACACAAACATAATATAGTATAGAATTGCTTTAATATATATTGTATACTGAAATGTGTGATTTTTCATTAGCACAACGAATCCCAATCAAATTACTCTAATGTAGAAAGGCTGAATAAAGAATAACAGAAACTCCTCCAGCCAAGGCAAATTACATAAACACAAAACACACTAATAGCTCTACTCTGTAATAGTAATAGAGGCTTGAGCGCCTTTGCTGATTGAACTGAAACAGCATTTTAATGAAATAACCTTCATTTGACATTTTGCTAACAACTATTTCACAGAATCATGTTTCGTTATAAAATGAGAGCCAATCTTAGCAGTGATTACAACGCTAGTTATTATAAGAATGTTTCTTATTTTATTCTCCCAATCAATACCTTCCAAATCCTATTCTATTGTTTATTTTTCTGCTTATAATTTGAAAGAGGAGTGGAGGGGCCCTAGGAATTTCCTGAAAGACATCATATTGAGAAATAGTATTGCTTTACAATCTCCAAAGTGTAGCCAAATACATTAGTACTTTTTTTACTTTAAAGCAACCATTTAAAGATAAGTGTTATTTTTCCATAAATGAGAGAATAAATTGAAGTCAACTGTGCTTACTGGCTTTCCTGAGATTGCATACTGGTCTGGACAAAATGACAATTGCAACCCAAATCTAGTCATTACTTCACATCTTTACACTGGAACTTAATTTGATTTGTCTTGGATCATCTAAAAGATATTAAGAAGTTTCATGAATATCAGGTTTGTCACTGTCTCCTAGATGATTATTTAGAACTCAATCCATCTTTGTATCTAATTTTAAAATCAATCGATTTTCTCAATTTCTGCTCATTAGAGCTTGAAGAAGCCATAGGGAACACTCACTTAGCAAATAGCATTTTGTCATATTATGAGTAGAGATAATACTGGCTCCTAAAGTTACAAAGATGAATAAGACATAATTCATGATTCCAAATAACTTGCTACAATGCTAATTATTTGCATATGAAAATGAAGCTAAATAGCAAAATTTCCAGGGCAGAAGTGTGTGAAAAGTAGGACTAGACCATAAAGAAAGAATATGCAGGAAAGGGAAGGATTCAGAGGAAGTAATATTTCAGTTATTGGATCGACAGTCAACAAATACAATGAAGGACAAGGTGGGAAAGAAAGTGACTAAGATACTAATCAAGGCTGCACTAGCGAGTGTTCTAGGTTCTAGAACCATATAATAATCAAGACAAAAAAACCCAAATCTCTTGCTGA